GATGGTCCCTCAGGGCTTTAGTAACTTTGAGGTCCGACCTCTGAGGAGGCCAATCCATGCCTAATAGTGTCCCATTGTGTGTTTTTCTGTCCAGGTATGATTTTACTGCATTGGCGGTTTGGGATTGGGATCACTGTCATGCTCCATGTTGCAATCAGATGTTTTCTAGATTGTATTTGATTGGATGGCGGATCAAAATTGCACTTTCCTATTTTTTCATTCCCATAATTCCGTCAATTTTGACAAGATCTCCAACACCACCAGCTGAAATGCAGCTCCAACCGCGACACTGCAATACTCACTGTTCTGCCTCTCTCCCGACCTCCTCCATACATTTTTAAGACAATTTGAAAAATGTTAAAATTTCAGTTCTTCACTCCATCAGAGCTGTTGCAACTGATTTTCAATGTGGTTATAGTGTAATTTGGCACAGCTCAGCCTTTTCCCCTTGTTTCTCTTCCTTAAGAATGGCTTCTTGAGAGTCAGCCTTCGACTGAGACCTTTTCTGATGAGTGAACAGTAGATGGATCAACTGAAGGTCCAGATGCACCTCTCAGGTCCTGTGTCTGGTCTTTGCTGTGTTTCTTTCTCCTTGTTAAGGACCTAACTGCACCTACCTAACTCTTAACTTTTGACCACTTTTTAGCTAAAAGTTGTTTAGGAATCACCTTGTTGGTGTAAAAACACTATTTTCCCCTGTCAACCTGTTAAGTTTGGCATTTTGCAAAAAATTACCTAAAGGAATGTGACAGGCAGCTGGTAACAGAGCGCCTAAAGATACAATTTAAAATTGGTTATTTGCTAAGTTGTCCGTTATGATTTGACACAACAGAGTTTAATGCCCTGAGTTTGGTGCCTCTTTTAATGCTTGAATGATTCACAGGTCAGTGTTAAGGGACAAGCAAACAACTGTGCTCTTAAAATCTTGAGGAGTGATTCGTCTTTAAAACATTTTACACATGTTATAGTTGTTTGAATGTAATTGTGATGTTAAAAAAAACATCATATTAATTGTATGATCATGCCAAAATAAACTAGAGCCAATAACTGTAACCAAAACTGACTAGATGGCAGTATTTGTGCTGATCAACAACAAACAACAAAACCAAGACAAGCAGTAAATAACCAGCCAGCCATGAACAAAACATTTGGTTTGACCCCAAATCACTTTGGAGATTCTCGATAAAACCTATATTCATTTTCTATCATCACGTGACTCATGGTATTTTTCTGTTACAGACATGTCTTTGCTTTGCTGTCGTGTTCCCTGCATATGTTGTAAGTCTCCTTAAGGACCAATGATGGATACACCAGTAAGATTGGGTAACTGTTTCAAAACAGTTCAAAACAGTTTGATGCGAGGAAGGCACCCAGTGATGCAAAACAATCAACAGCGCCCCTCAAATGCATTCAAACTACAGGGTGGGCCATTTATATGGATACACTGTAATAACATGGGAATGGTTGGTGATATTAAAGTCCTGTTTGTGGCACATTAGTATATGTGAGGGGACAAACTCCTCAAGATGGATGTCGGCCAAGTTGGATACAACTTTTGTTTTTCCAATAGGAAGAGGGTCATGTGACACATCAAACTTATTGATAATGTCACAAGAAAAACAATGGTGTGCTTGGTTTCAACGTAACTTTATTCTTTCATGAGTTATTTACAAGTTTCTGACCACTTATAAAATGTGTTCA